TCAATAATTCAATTACAAAAGTGAATACTTCACTTAAGTATCTTAAAGATACTTAACGAATAATATAAAAATAAATAGTAAAAATTTACTTTTTTTTCATTTTGTAATATTTTTAAGTGAATATAAACAGAATATTTGCAATTTTTAGAAAATATAAGCATTATATTTTAGGCATATTTAGAGAAATCCTGACCCAAGATATTATATATAATCACAATTTTAATGAAAACATAAGAAAGGTATTTTTAATAATTTACTTACGAAAACTTAGCACCAGTTGATTCAGTAGAATGTTGAATATTCTGTTCTTCAATAGAATTCAGTTGAATTTCAGTGATATATCTTTTAAGAATTGGTAATTTAGTGCAAGTTTTAAAAATTACATTATTTGCTCCCAATTCTTGTAAAGTTGATATATTGTTTTTAATTAACAACTTCTATGCATTGAAAAAAATAAATAGTTATATTAATAGTTCAAGTTTCATTAGATGAAATAAAATACCTTAATATCCTTTTCATCTTTTTTCAAAGAATTTTTTAATAAAATTTTACTTCTATCTAACGGTCTAATCATTTGTTCAGCAATTGACGAGTAAGCTAAAGATTTTTTACTTTCTTTTTCTTTCTCTCCTTAAAATAAATACAAGAATATTGTTAATATTTTTAATTAAAAAAATATAAATATATTGTATATACAGACCGAAAGTTGATACATTATTAGATGGCCATTCTTTTATACACATTACAACAGACACAAATTCTGGACTATTCAGTGGCTTTCCAGAACATAATGCTGAAATAGCTGCTAAAGCTAAATTTAAATGAGAAGAATAACTATCCCAATTATTATCATTAACATTGATTTGTCCCATATATGTCAAAAGGCATTTCAAAAGAACTTTACAGCTCTTACTAACTGTAGATAACTCATTTTTCTCAACTATGAAAAATAAATAATAAAATCAATAAATATTTATACTTATTTTAAAATATATATTAGTATATTACATAAATTACAATGGTGACCAATGTAATTAGCTGCTAATGTGACGAAATAGAAGTAAAATTTGTTTTCATTGACGTCATGTTCACTTAAACATTTTTCACTAGAAAAAAAATATACTTATTAAAACTAATATTTTAACATTATATTATCCAAATAAACTATAAACAGCAAGATAATAAATAAGTAGTAAATATTTTGATACTATTATACAAACCTTTGATCAATAAATTTAAGCAAAGTATACAAATTGACTTTGGCATTGGAACCCGTATCGTAAAAAATAAATTTTACAGACGTCCAATCTAAATCAAATTTAGAAGCCATTTTAAGTGTATTGTATCCGAAACAACTACACATACATTTTCATTTTGGTTTAGAACCTATGATCTGTAACATACATACTTTTCAAACAATAGGTACTAAGTAATAGTCTAAAAATTGTATATCCATATGCAACATAAATTGTTGCCAACTTCCTAATTAAAACAATGGCCAAACATCAATTCAAATGTGTATCAATATACATAAATCGAGTTTTTAATTATCACAACAATAAATAAATGTAAATAATTGGCATGGGCTTACTAAAAATGCGATAAATTGAATTAGTATAAAACCATGATGACCTGAATCACTTAATATAATAGTACACCGTCATACTCAAACAAGACAATAATTACTAACTGTATATATAAATACCCGAACTCATATATATGTACACCGTATTAGTAAAACGTTATTAAAATGACTTGGCAAGTTAATAATACCACTATCATTATTATTGTTTAAATTGAAATACGCATTGGATTTTAAGCGATTCTATTCCAGAATACTTACAGATAATTATTGTCTTTTACAATACTCGACAAACAACAAATTCACATGATCAATATCACAAACCGAATGCAATTTTACATAATATTATTTATTACTCTAACTTTGCGAGAAGTTTGATCATAAATACACCAGACACAGACGCGATTACGCGAATTTTGCAAAATCAAGACCAACTGATTTGTGATTTTACATTCCAGCTTTCGACATTGGTATAAAGTTTCAGTTCAATACCTTGGTATAAATTTAATTTGATATGAGTGATTACAAAACCGGATACACATTTTAACTCCAAACGACATACAATTACCAAACTATCATTACCACGAAATATTATAAAATTAAAAATATCTATTAAATATTATTGCCAGTTATTTGGATAGCGAAATCGATTAATGCTATAAATTTATATATAGGAATCAAACACTCAGACCTCAGATGAATAAAAATAATAATTATCTAATAAAAACCGTGAAAGTCGCTCTACTGTGTAATTGGTTTCAACTGTTTCGAGTAACCTTATCATGGAGTAGTGGAGTACCTAAGTCATTGTATCAGTGTTATGAAAGTGTTTTATTTGAATTAAATAATTATTTTAAACTTGAATACGAAAAACAATTTTATGCATAAACAGTACATCACTCTCTATTTGTAATGATATTTTGTAACTTATCTATTCTAGGTGTATACCTTCGCATATATTATACAATAATTGTTTTAATAAATACCTAATAGCTTTTATCGTATTGTATCATGAAATATTAGATATATTAATGCAAAACTTCAATATTGCATGAACAATCACTTAATTAAACATGAGTCAATGTTCTATAGTAATGGCTCAAATTGATCCGTTAATTTTAATAAATCATTAAAATAATTAATTCTACTAAAAAATAATGCAAAAATCTATTTAAATTAAATATCTATAAGATATTACTGACCAAGCGCATAACGGTAACTAAAATAAAATTTTATTTTAATATTAGGGCCATTAAAGGTTAATTCAGCATTTTGTAATTCAATTTAACTTAAAGATCATACGTTTACACATTTTATATTGTCATAGAACATAATATTCTATGATATTGTAATCATCAATTTTCACACTTTACATTAATGTTTAATAATACCTAACTAATAAGTAATAACAAATATGAAAAAGAACTTTTTGAACTAAGTATATGGCAACGATACAATATGAAATTTTGTAAAAATCTGAACCATAAATAATACAGTACCTAGTAAATAAATATATTTTTTGTATAAATACGGCCTAAGGCACTATTTTAACATCCAAAATCCTGGCTATGCTATTGCTATTTGATACTAAAAATCGTATAAAACGTGCTGAATAAGTCACGGTATACCTATGGTCTTAGGACATAATTTCAATTTTGGGGAACAAACTAAACCATTAATGTACATCAAATGTACATTGACGTTATTTGGATGGACTTAACTTCACTAAAATGTTTTATTTTAATTGAAATATTATATTTTGTATTAATTATCTAATTTACATATAGGTAGTAAACAAGTAAACGTTTGACAATTCGTTATTAGTGTACTTTCCAGAATAGAAATCGGATCCACTAATAGAACATTTTAGTACTAAGTATAGGTTTAAATGGTTTAATCATAATTCATGACTAAATACATTTAGCCGTAGGTATTTTAAATTTAACAATTGTGATAATTGTTATCATTTCGATTTATCTTGAATATAGTCGGTAGTAGGTAGTGTATTTTTAATACCAAGTTTTGGTTTTTACAACAGCTATAGCCTATAGTCAATACTCAATAGTCATTACTCATTAGTCATTACTCACTAGTTATGTTTTAATTCCAACTTTTGTTACTCATAAATCATAGTTAATGTTTATAGGTTTATTAATTTTGTTATAACTTTTAATTTATAATATTTTTTTTTTTTAATGATAATAGCCTTACGACATGCAATAGGTCATTTTCAGAAACGAAGAAGATTAAAAACTGGCCAAAAAAAATCAAAAGGAGCCATTAGATTAATTTAATTAATTCTGTAGTAACATTCGTTAAATCAATTCCAATTTCCAAGTACAAATATAGGTACGGTGATGGTTCTTAATTATTCCTATAATATATGCATTGCACATATGCATATAAATTTAAAATTACAATATCATTGAACAAACACCATTTAGTTATAATATTATCCATCCAACTAATTAGCTCATTAATGTTTACCTGCTGTCAGCCGTTAACTATAATCAATTTCACTTCAAAGTTTCAAATCAGTTTTTATTATTAGTTTATATTCTTTTTAATAATTATTATTACAAATTTTGCAATCTAAAATAAAGTACCTAGCTAGAAAAATTCTTAGTACCTACCTATCCCACTAATTCAGTTTTTTTAGTAATTTTATTATAATTGAAATAGTTGAAAAAATATTATACTAATACCTACTACAATTATGCGGTACCTAGGTAAATAAAAGTTTTATTACTTTTTGATTAATTAATGGTTCAAAAAACTTTCTTTATGGAGTTTCATCAAAGTGTGATGGACATCTATTGATATATTTTTTAAGGCAATTAAATAAAAGCGATAAAAAATAATCCATAAATAAAATGGATTTAAGTACTAAATATTTATTTTATACTTAATAAATACAATATTCTTGAGAGGTATTATAATTTGCTTAATTTAAATAGAACATTTTTACACATATAGATATTAGAATGGCTCATTCAATTACTATAAAAAAAAAATAGCTGGCACCTACCACTTGACACTAACTACATAGCAGGACAAGTAAGAGGTATATTATATTTAATCCTCTTTATTAATAATCTATTTTTAAACATTTTATTTTTGAAAATTGTATTTTACACTCAAATGTCTCGAAACATTTATTAAACAAAAAAAAATTTTATTCAAACTGAAGTCTATAATAATAGAACACTTAAAAGTTAAAAATTTGAGTTTGCATCGGCTATTCGCGACATTATATCTACAGTCAACTAGGTGCAAAGTTACAATGATATACTGACAACTGAACCACGGTTGATAATGATTGATAGTATTGTTGATTTAGGTTATGTTCGCGGTAAATACGAGTAGTGGAAGAGTATTTTAAATTGACAAGCCCGCACACTATTCAGGTACAGTTTTATATTGCAATTCATAAAAATAATAAATACCTACCATGTAATAATAAATATTTTAAATTATGTAATATACATTTACAGGGCTTGGTTTAATTGTATACGTACACGACGAGCGTTAGCTGATATGACGTCCTCGGAGACATTAGAGGTTGCGTTTGTGTCAGACGGTTCTTCTGGAGCTACAGTTTGGGATACAACCAACGGTACAATGTTGAAGACTTACAGGCATACAGGGTCTATCGGACAAAACTGCATGAGCCTGTTGGGAAATGATTATCTTATTGCCGCCGACAAGGGACCGTTAATACAAACTTGGCCCATCAATAGTCAGGAACGAACACACCAGGTGCGCATGTTGTGTGGTGGGAAAATTAACTCGCTGGCTGCAAGTCCTGACGGACTATACATTGCAGTTGCGATTAGTGAAAAACTACAGGTTTGGATGGTAAGTGCCATTTCATAATAATACTTAAACCTAATGACCAAATGATAGCAGCTGCATTGAGCTCATCATTCAAACTTCTGCTAAATCCCTTATTCAACATCTAATCAACATTTAATTTATTATTAGTCAGTATACTATTTATGTTTTGAACTCACACTTAAGTTATCAACCAAATGATCTAACTGCTTAATTTGAAAATAAAATGTTAAGTTATAATTTATAACTTAAAATTTTTATTGTTTTATTTTTCTTTTGCAAGGTAGCTTCATGTTTGGTTGTTGCCATTCAATTTATTTACATTTCTTACAAAGTATAACTTTATCTCTCTTACACGTCTAACAAATTTACAATGAATTTTTTTTTAATAAGATCTAGTTTTAATATAATAGTCAACTCAAATTAAAACAATATTTTAATGTTATGTTATTATGTTTAGGCTTGCTCAGGAAGATTGTTAACAACTGTAAGTCGTCATTTTCAACCAATCACTATTATTAAGTGGTCTTCGGATGGATCTTATTTAGTCACTGGTAATTATTTTATTTTATCGATATGATTTTCAAATTTTAATTTAATTGTGGTTTTAAGGTGGTGAAGATGGTCTTGTTTGTGTTTGGTCATTAGCTAAATTAGTCAACATATCTCGATCTTCTATGCCACAGATATTTTTTTCTGGAGACCAAATTGATCAGTCGGCTCCCAATTACATATTTTCGGATCATTCTGTAAGAATAACTGGGATATATATTGGTGATTGCACGAGATGCATACGAATTTTTACCATTTCGGTTGACAAGACTTGCAAGGTAAATAACATGCTTGTAGTATTGTCATTTATACAGTTTTAACTTATAACACATTTTTTTAGATTTACGACCTCTCAACTGGTATAATGTTATTATCAGTTGCATTTGATATAATTCCTTCTAGCCTTACTGTTGATTCAGTAGAAACTGCTGTTTATATTGGTACTACAGTTGGTCCTATAAGGTCTTTTGATCTTACATCTCCACCACGTACTCGTGAATGTTATATATCAGACAAAGAAAGTGGTATTAAATTTATTGGCCATGCTAAAGCTGTAACTTCTTTAAGTGTGTCATTGTTTGGTGATACATTAGTATCTGGATCTACAGATTGTACGATTAGAACATGGCATATAGCAAGTCGCCAATGTTTACGCACTATTCAATTAAAAGAGCCTGTCATTAATATGTTTTTAACATTAATACCACGTCAATTAACTGCAAATGAATTAGAACCCAGTATTATATTAAGGAGTTTTAAAAAAACAGAAGAACTAGAAGATGATAATTTTATTGAAGTATATTGTCATAATGATCTTTTTGAAGAAGAAAATGATACTTATGGATTCAAAGAAGATACTAGTATACGCGAAGAATTGGAAAAAACAAAAACAATCAACGCAAGAATTTATGAATTTGCTCTTAACTCTATATTAAAAGATAGTGAACCAAATCTAAAAGAGGTATATATTAAACATTTTAGAATATATTATAAATTACAATTTTTGGATAACTAAATTTATGTAATATTATTTTTGTTTGTAGGATATAGATATTAGTTCTTTTTCAATCGTTGATTTAGAAGAATTTGATGGAGAAAAGAATGGATTAGGAGATGGTGATGATACTACTGAACATTCTACAACTCCAAGAAAGAAAAAAAGGGGAAGAAGAAAAAGTAAAAAAAATGTTAATGATGTAAATATAAGTAATATTTATAAGTATTCATGAATTTGTAATTTTTTAAATTTGTTTTAACTATAAATTTTATTTTTAATTCCATTATGACTATTATAAACACAATGATTTCATCTAAATGATCTAAGAATAAAATAGTTATATATGAAATTAAAAAATATAAACTGTCTATCAACATTTATGAATAAGTTTTATTTTATTTTTTTATTTTTTGTTAAATTTATTAACTTATTTAAATTAAATGTTAATCAAATTTTAACTAAAACCCAAAATAAAATACTAAAATAGAAATTGATAATTTTGTGTTTTCTAAAGTTCTAATGTATTTAAAAATTTTGAAATATAAATTATTAATTTCCATAAGTATCCATATAGTTATAGAAGTATTAATAGGTGACTATTTAGTGAGATTATAAAAAGGTTATAAATTAGCATATTATACTATATTATAAATTAATTAATGTTTACTAAGTTTTAAATTTAATAGTTCTGTAGAACAACCTTTGCAATCTTTTTTACATGTTAATATTTATAGAAGTGTGATCATTTAACAAATTTATACTATGGATCATTAATTATTACTTTTTTAATCAAAAACCAAATTAATAATTTATATGCAAATTTAAAATTAATTTTATTAGCATTTAATAGACTTATAATTTAAAAAATTTATTTGCTTATACATATATATATATATCATAAGTGCACTTTTTGAACTCAAAATAAATGAAAATAATTTTACAGAAATCTCAAAACAAAATTCATTGTCTGTTTTGACAGATGAATGTTAAATATACAAATTAATAAAAAAAGTATCTATGAGTATACAAATAATAATAATTTCATGACTAAATAATACAAGTATAAAATGATTTTAAAAAATATTATCACAGATACAATGTTTTTTACAACAATTTAGAACAGTTTTTTATACTTAATTCAATAACTTATTTGTTAATTTTTTTTCTTGTCAATTAGAAATTATTTAAATCAAATGATTTCAAAATAATTTTTACTGTCACAGATTATCAATCATTCCTGTACTGTACTACGGTATTTGTCTAAATTCCATCCACGAAAATATTTTCTGAGACATTCATTAAAATGGCGTTCCATAAAGTCCATCATAAGTTTACATTTAATATCATTAGACTGCTAATAAAAAATAAAAAAAAAAAATGTATAAATTAAATTAATGTAGGAACAAGAGTTTTTTTTCTTACCTGAGATATGTGACGAAATGTACTGAATACCAATCGAAAATCCCTAACGACTGCTTGTACATTTTCATACTTTTTATTAATCATTTTACATCTGATGGGCTCAAATAATTGTATTCGAACTACATTTTGGTAAGTAGTCTCCTTTAAATAAAATGTGTGTATCGTAAAATTTTTAAATTTTTTTATCAATAAAAATTAACTTACATATAACTCTGGCTCTTTACTAAATTCTTCTTTGGGTATATCTTGCATTTCTCTAATCATCTTTTGAAATTTGTATCGAACTTTTTTATCTACTTCTCTGGCCAAAAAATTCCACATTCTATCTGATGTATCATCTGGAATTTGAGTTCCACTATCTCTGTCAGACATTTTTTCATATACTGGATGTACATTACTGATTAATCCTTCTTCACTCTCTTGTGATGACTGTACACTATCAGTAGATCTAGTTGCTAAAATATTATGATTAATAGCATTGTTTACTAATTTCTTTGCATCTATTTGTGCTTCTAGCCATTTTTTTTCGTCGTCTTCTTTCACTTCAACTAATTTGGCTTCGGGTTTTGGCTGTGGATTATTAGTCACAAACTGAGTTGGTGGAAATGGTGCATTATGTACTGGATATGGTGGTTTCTGGTAATTGTTTTGCCATGGATTTGGGGGTTGCTGAAGGTATTGATAATACTGTGGTTGATTCATTCGCATTTGGTTTGGATACTGTGGGTATGTGGGTTGATATGGAGGACGGTACTGCATTGGACAGTATGGTGGTCGATTTAATTGTGGTGTTTGATATGGTCCTTGATAATTATAACTGTTCATATAATTTTGATTGGGATAGTTGTAATTTACATATGGCTGTGTGTTGTAATCTGGAGATGGTGGTTGATATGTGGGCTGTTGTACAGGTGGAACAAGAGGTGTTGTTGGATTTTGCATTACATGAACCTCATGTTTATCATTGGGTACAATTTTTTTTAACTGAGTGATTGTTGATAATGCCTTATTTAACATTCTATCACCATTTTTTCCTTTGACTTTAAGTGATGCATTCGGATCTTTAGCACGGCAGTGTACATTTATGTCATTAATCAACTGTTCCATAATTTTGTATGAATGTTTCCACCAATGTTGGTCTATACTGACGTTCATTCCAAACATGTCTATCATGGTTATACTGAAATTAATAAATACAGCAACCAAGGTGTGCACATTACCTTTATCGACACGGCTGGCATCCACAGATGTCAACAACTGTTTAACAATATTATTTGAATCTACAGTTTGTACCCACATAGGCAAATCTCTATTAACATCAAGAGCATCATCAACTGTCTTACAACCTACCCATAATAATCTTTTAGTTTCTTCAAAACAACTGGATGCTGAATTGTTTTCAAAATCAAATAATACAGATGATGGTGAACGACTTAAAGTAGGCCGAGATGATATAGATGATGTACTATAAAACAAACAATATGAACTTAAAGTTTCTAGTAGTAATCAGTAAGTATCAAAACAATAAATATTAATTAATATTTTAATATTACCTGCTATAGTTTTTATAATTTCTTTGAATAGCTGATGTTATGTTGATATTTTTATTTGCTGCAGTTGGGCGATATGAACGACCTTTATTAGATTTTTTATATTTTTTACTATTTGTGGCACATTGCATTAATTTTATATAACCGTTTAATGAACGATAATCAACAGTAGTTTTATTTGGCGCGACTTCTTGATCAGACATCATTAAACGATTGTAAATATTCATCATAAACTCCAATCGACCTTTCATGTCAGATGAAACAACATTCACATTGTATTTTGTCATGACTATTAAATTAATTAAGTAATCTATAAACAAAAATTTTTAATATTTTATAATAAATAATTGAAATTTTATTAAATAAGATAAATTATTAGTTGTTAAAATTAAAGAACTACTGATATAAGTGAAACATTACAATATTTATATTCTCTGAGTTCTGTAGATGTTTAAAAATGATTAACCTTAACATTTTTATCTATACAATTTGATCACTTAATTAAAGACAAATTGTATTGTTTTTAATTAATAGGATCACATATTATGTATATTAACAGTAATTTATTGGATACTTTATTATCTTTAAAAACATTTCGCTTATTTTTTAACTTTTATAAAGTAGTTTAAGTAATTGACAATCACTTAAGAGAAAATATGATAATATGTAGGTAAGTAAAGTTTTAACTTTATTATAATATAATACATTTTTACTTATTACTTATTATCATTCATCATAGCACTGTTTACTAACTAATTGCATATATTAGTAGGTATTAAAAGTGGTTCTTTTTTAACATAAGTGGTATATCTGTTTGAAAATGATATAATCTGTGCTATAAGTTTAAGTATTAAGTTATGAGTATGCGTGTATAGCAAGTAATTATAAATTACATGACAGATTTGAGATATAATTTAATAATTATTAGATTAAAGGTTTATATTTTATTTATTTTATATATATATAAATAGTCGAGTGTTACTGCTGGGTAGCTACTACCCAAACAATTTCACTGCCAACTGTACTTTTTAGCTCATATGCTTATTGTAACTACTATTACAGAATTTATACATTCAAATAAATATTAAAATAAAAAATAAAAAAATATATATAAATTATTTAGTAGTAAATCACTGTGAAAAAAGTTAGTGGTAGTTATACAATATTGTTATATTAACTGTAGAAAACAATAAGGCTGATTTGTACCTAATTTTTTTTTCTTAAATATTTAGGAAAAATAATAATTAGAAAAAATTCATTGGTGAGTAGGTATATCCCCTTAATTTCTTTCCACTTGTTTATCAAACCTTTAAAAATATTCTTCAATAATAAATTAATTGAATAGAAACATAAAAACCTAAAATATTGATAAAGAATCAATTATTTTGTGGTTAAAATGAATTAGATGTTTGATTAGTATATAATATAGGTAGGTAATTAAAACTGTCATATTTCATTTGTATTTTAAACAAAATATTTATATGGTAATAATGGAATAAATTTAATAAGTAATATAAATAATAAATAAAGCACATTACCTACTATAATTATTGTGTACCTAACGTTAAAAAATATAATATCAAATTTAAATGTTTCATATATCAAAATATTATTCTAAAATATATACAATAATATTATTAAATATACAAACAGTAACTATATCATATTATATAATATAATCTTCCCTGACTTGTGGACATACTCTTTTGTCATTACTTATAAAAATATACATTAAAGTATAAACTATTGACAATAATAATACTATGTACCTATCTCCATTTAGGTAGACCGTAGACATGAAGATTTTTGTAAGCTGACAATAATCTACCACAACTTAGTATTATTACTTAATAAGTATTATTATGTACTAACAATCACTTGTTTAGTGTTATTTATTTTTGTAAAATTTAAAATATGGCGTAAATTGTGCACATTTTTTTATGGTTCACACGAATTTCCTGGATACCAAATTTAGATTGGTGGGTAGGTACTTAAATTAAATAAGTTATTTTACACGAATACTGCTAATGTCTATTAGTACGATACTACGACACCGATATAATTTTTATTGTTATAAGCCAGTAATAGAAATTACGTAAAATTTATATAAAGTAGGTATGCCTAATTAATACAAACAAAATGGTAAAGTATAGACTACAGAGTAAATATTGTTTTTTTTATTATTTAAGTGAAAGTTTATAATATCTGCTAGTTGTAACAGAGTACTTAAAAATGAAAATATAACATACAAAATACCTAATATATAAAAACAATATCCACGATCTTTATTTCGATTTTTACATTTTATAATACACGATGAATGTCAAACATATTAAGATTTTAAGACTAACATATATGATGCTAATTTATATACTTACCTATTAAAATTGAATGCAATTTAGATTTAACAAACTGACTAATTACATTTTACTATTTTATAGAAGGTTAATAATGAAATGGTAAAAAAAAAATGGAATCTTTTTACAACCACGGAATTGACAGCTGTCAAATTAAAGCAACAGGCTTCATCAGATGACCAAACAATCGTTGAGCAGTCAATCATCAAAGAAACTATAAAAACGACAAAAAAATATTAAAATGGTTTTTATTTTATTTACGGTAATATTATGATGACGAATAAAACTGCGTGAATGGAGGGTAAATATTTGATATTGAAGTTATTATTGGTTAACATGAATTAAAAACCTTTATAGGCATTTATATATATTATTGTCTACCTATTGAATAAATCTAGTTGACCACGATTATTTTTTTTTGGAACTTACGTATTTCAACATGTCATATTACATGTTAGGATTAAAACTTTACAGTTAGATTTCGTTTTGATGTCATAGCTTTTTGAAATTTATCACTTCGGTATTTATTACATGTGTTAATACCATGTGTTATTGAAACATTTGCACATTACCAGGGACTGTTAAAAAAAAAAAATTGTTTTCTTTTTTAAACAATATAATTAAATAACAAATAGGCTAAAATATAAATATGAAGAAATGAGTAATTTAAAAGTCATGCCGTTTTATTTACAATTTTTATGTAGTTATCTGTATAACGTGCGCCCGTCCAAATAATATAGGTAAAAAAACCTCCCTGATTTGTGAATCTCATAAATATAAAACCAATTCAAATATCAAAAAGTAAATTTTATTTGAAAATTGTACATATAATGTCATTTTTTTTTAGTTATTTTTAAAAATTATATCACTTAAGTGACAGCCTTCGTTTTAAATACATTGATTGTGCTTTTCGGTAGTTTGTATGACCCTACGAGTCATTTCAGACGAGATGTAACAATTTCCTGGGTTATTAGTTATTACCTCCTTCAGGGCTTTTATAGTTTGGGGACGATGTTGGTATACTTGCCTTTTGAGGAAGCCTCACAGGAAAAAATTGCATGGACTTAAATTTGGTGAACACGGTGGCCATCCACTAACCTAACCAATGTCACTATTTACGTAAAGAGATAATATGCCCTGGAATTATTAATTAATTCCTCGACAATAACACAGGATGTTCTTCCGATCAAGTCATGATAAATACTAATAATGGCATAATAAGGCTTTTTATCGATATAAATATCATTAGTTTATCAGTTTTATCTTGATCTGAACCTAAATTACAACCTTACCAAACTATAGGAAATTATATCTGCCGCACCTTGTATTAGTGTTTAATACATTATATTTCTCTACTTTTTAATTACATTTTTTATTAAATCGTGGTTGTAATTATTATTAATCTGTACAAACATAAACACTGTAGGTATCATGTTATATAAATTATATTTTTATTAAAACAATGTATAATTTATTGCTGAATATTTATTTTAAGAGTAATCCACCTCTTAAATCCCTAACAAACGTGTCTTATAATGTAAGTTTAACTATAGTGTAGGTTCACAATTCTATTATAGATGTATTTAAATATTTTCAAATTTAAGAAATTATTTTAAGTTCTGTATCGAAAATATAGATCTAGTTTTAATTCGCAAATTTCATCTAGTAGACATTTATCAAAAATTACATTTTTGAAGTTTAATACTTTAATATCAATATCACTAAATATTAAATTATACAACTACGTTTTCGTAGGTATCCTTAAATTGTATGACTACAATATTGTTGGGCATCGTCAATGAAGGGAACGCCGAACGGTATATTTATTAATTGAATTAGCAATTCGAGAATCAGGTCATTGCAATTTGCAATAATCTTACGAATGAAAAATTCACAAAAATAAAACGCTTAGAATTTATATATATTTACTCTGTTCGTAACACACCAGTTAAATAATAGTATGAATTATATTTTGTTAACAACAAGTAATAACATATTATTATGTTCATACAGAGATAGGAGACTAATGACAAGTCGCGATTTAAAATTAAAACATCTTTAAAGATTAATTATTTAACCAACAGACAACTGACAAGAACACCACATCTTGTAGAAACAATTTAGTTTACCTACACACTTTTCAACATACAACGTTTTCATTATACATATTTATTATTAAGTTACAAATATTTGACACTTGACAGATGTCTGTGTAAATACAAACAGACATTTTCTTGAACATCTATAGACTATAATATAATTTTTAACCACTCATGTATTCATCTTCGGTATTCCTTCTTCTGAATTTTGTATATTAATATATTATTATATGCGTGTAGTTAAATCTACACGTGATCACCGCCATTTCTTACTTCTTAGGCTTGTTGGAACACACAAAGGTTATAATAATTTTTTCTCATGGTATTAGTCCATAATACACACAGGATGAGTAATACAAAATAATATTGCATATCATTATAATTGGTAATATGCATACATAGATACACGTGTTTACACGCCGCGATCGAACGTTATCAGTGAGCGAGTGTGTATATCATTGTGTATTGTTACTGTAATGTTTTATTAAAAGTAATATTGTATTTTTTACTGCTGGTTTTTATCTGCAGTGATAATGAAAAAAAAAAAAAATTAAAGAATAATGGTCGATTCATTTTAATTTGAGAATCTTTATAATCTACCTACATTACATTAATGCCAATAGGCAATTATTAACCTGTTATTGCTCGTATACGGCGTGTTCATAGCTTTATTCTGGAAATATTCATATATTTCACTAAATTTACCAAAGTTTCCCTAAGTTCTTTTTTGTTCGTAATTGTATTCTATTTTTCAAAATCAAACAACACAACTAATGACGGGGAATTACTCAAAGTGATGTTTATTATAGAAGTTATAGAACGAATAGTGTATAATTATAGTCTCTATATAAATAGTTATAATTAATAATCAGCATATTATAGGTATCTATTAATAATAATTAATATTAATTTTTAGTCCGTGGGTAATTAGATATTTTAAAAGTGATATCATTATATTTATCGGCTATTTTTTTTAATATTGTTTTATTATTTTAATAATATATGCTGTAGTTATTTATAGTTTTACAATTTATAGTTTTGTTTATTACTGTTGAATAATAGAAAGAATGACTTATTTTTTACTTTTTATTAGTTTTATATAACCTTTTAATGAACGATAAACAGCAGTAGTTTTATTTGGTGCTATTTCTTAATCAGTTAATTATATTACCAAGTACCTACTACCTATACTCGTGCATATGCCATAAATAGATACATACAGTTCCAGTCCTTATTTTAATAGGATATTTTTCCGTGTCATCGTGCAAATTTTTCCAAAGTTTTTTCTGTAATTTAATTTCTTTGTGTTTATTATAGTGTTTTTTTTTAAATTATCAAAGTCAATATTTGCCGTGGACTTAACACTTGTATTTTCAATAAAACAACACGTCAAATATTAAATGTATACATGGAAAATTAATGAATAATATGGAACTTTGAATATGTCATATTGAACTTTTAATTACAATTCAGATTTTGTTTACAAATAGGTAGGCAGTACTTATAATAGTATAGCTCGTTATAATCAAATACCTATCTATTAAAAAAAAGTTGTTTCATGAGAAACAGTGACAATAATCATCTGAAGTCGGCATCATTATGAGTACCTAAAGTCATCGTGCAAAATTAGATACACCCTATTGTAGCGGAATTCACGGGATTTCCAATAATCCCAATAACACGTGTTTTTAAAGCATTTTATATACTGTGTATAAAAAACCAAGTGCTCTAGTAGAAGTGTTTGAACACCCACCACCTCACCCGTTTGCACCCCATTGGATACATTATATTTCTTATTAACACAAAGCATGTTGAAAACCAAAGAATTAGGCTCACGTCTATATGTTTCGTGTTCAATAGTTGTGTTATAAGAAAAGTACTTTTGAAATCAACCTTTTTTTACCTGAGCAATACAATTTTTTTATTATTGAATGAAAATAGAGACGAAACCTGTCGTTGTAAAATCAAAAATATGATAGTTTGCCGTCAGATTAAACCACAGGAACACTCTGTATACGGCGCAATTCGTTAGTATTATATTCTTAGGAAGCCGTGAGGCAACTTGCACAGTTATATAGGTGTAGGTGCGTATTATTATCATGATTATTTTTCCGGAATCGACGCGATCAAATATAAGTTTACAAGTGCCCAGACGTAGTACGACGATGGAATGAGGATCGGGGGGCACCCTAACCTCGAGGTCTATCCGGCGGTACAGGATAACGCGCGCAGTCACACGGCACCACACGGAACGCAAACGAAACAACAACTTTAATAATAATAATAATAATAATATATTATAATAAAAACACACGTGTAATAATATAATAATAATAATAATAATGTTAATACGATGATGATGATGATATCGCGTAGGTACGCGCCTCGTCGACTAAACGATTCTCGCGCCGAGACTAGCCGCAACCGCTGAGTGGGGTGGTAGCGGCGGCGGTGGCTGAGGCCAATTGGCCTAATTGGGCTTCCGGTAGAGTCGCAAATCACACCGGTCAACGTACACACACGGTTCACAGCAACGCGTATTCCACCGCCGCCGGCCTTTGAGCGAGCCGCCCGCGATTGCAGATTATTAATTTACATCCGCAGAGTAAACTCGGCGCAGCCCCGGGGCACCTGTGTTGCGTTCGACCGTCCCGACACGCACCATGCACTGCACCGTCACGTCCGTCGCTTACGCCGCGATAGCGTTGATCGCCGTCTCCACCGTTTTCAGCGCACACACCGGTAAGCGTATAATATTGTTATGCTAATAATAATGTATTGTCGTGATGCATTTATTTTTTTATCATAATTTTATAGGGATAGCGACGAGTCGTTGCCAATATATACGTGTTGTTATTTGCGGTAGATTGAGAAAAAAAAATTTTTGCCGGCTGTTGTTCTTAGAACAATTTATCGTCAGATAACAATAATATGACGGGTAGGGAGAAAAAAAAAAAACTACGAAATTTTAGAAAAATTTCAAATCTTTACGTTCCGGGGGACATATAAGTTGTACACGTGCTCTGGGGCGCAAACATTTTAAACACGACATTTTGTGACTATAATACAATGCATTCATACGCACTTTTACCTATATATTGCAAATGGATTTTTTTACGCGATGGGGCGGGTGGTAACAGGAAATAAACATCTTTGAATGGGTAATCTGTTGTACATATTAGTATACTTTTATTTAAATTTTATACACACCTCTATAATTATGTCGTTATACTACTTCAGCTTTGTTTTACTTCTTTGCACCTTTATTTTCAACATGGCTATATTATATTTGTATTGCATAATGTACATGCAATCTACATAGAAGATCAGCCACACGTTTATGACCATATTTGTGTTGCTCGTTATTATTTTAGGAGAAAAATAAGCGTGTATGGTTTTTTGCGCTTATAAAATATAGAAAAACGTGACTTTTCTATTTACATTTGTAAATTTACAGAAACGATAAAAAATGTTTATTCATTCCATTTGTAATAATAAGGATAAACATTTGAAAAAGTAAATGTTTTCTTCTATCATATCATAGAGCCATGTAGTGTTATTACTTAAGGCCTTTTAAATATCTATCAAATAAATTGTTTAAAAATGCTTAAATGTTAAAATACATCGATAAAAAAAGAGTCCAATTAAATTAATTATTTACATATTTTTAAATGTTTGTTTCCAGTGAAGGCACAAAGTAGTGAGAAAAATGAGATACGTTGTTATGTATGCAATAGCCATAATGACACGGCTTGTGCGCAGGAAAAACTTCCAGATCGCTTTAAAACGGAATGCTCAAAATTAAATATAGGTGTTTCTGAAGAAAATCGTAAAAATTATACTCTCTGTAGAAAAATCATACAAACAATAGAGCCGAAGGTCAACGGATGTAAGTATAAATTGTCAGACTACTAGATCGGGCCTTATATTATGAAGGGGATATATTTCACTGCTTAAATTAAAATTAAAGTGGTGATAATGAAAGAACAAAATATAAAGTTAAAAAGGATATTATTCTAAAATAATAAATAGGGTTAGTTAACATCATAAGTGTGAAGAGTTAGGTATAATTTGTAGTTTGTACTTTGTATTATATACTTAATTTAATGCCTATTGATAATACGCCAATATTTATTTACTATTAACTATAGTATAATACTATATTTTACTTTAGAAAAGTAATAAGTAATACATTTCAGTTTTTAAATTTAAATAAACTATTTTATACAATTCTTATCAATATCTAATGCTTAATATTATTGATAAAAAAATTATTATTTATTTTTAAGGGTATGTAAATATGTGATTTTGAAATTAGATATTAAAACTTTTATTTTGTAATCTAATAATAAAATATTAACATCTTGGAAGAAAGCCAATGACGTACGACCAACACAAATAATTCATCAAACGTTCTTATTGTGGAATCGTTTTTAAGAATTATTCTAAAATTTTAAACCAAAAATTTAAAAAAACAATAAGTAGTAAAGTTTTGTATATATTATTGAAGTGAATTGCTTTTTCTTCTGCAATTATAATCATGTATACTATTCGCAATGCTTTTCAAGTGCATTTACATTTTAATATAATAGATAATAATATGAAAAAAATTGGAGATTAAATTTGGTTTCGACAACTATTACAACTTATATACTAATGCATAATAATGTTTATAAATGTTATTTTTTTTTTAATACTTAAGATGTCGCGTTAAGAAATAATAAATGAAATTAATATAACAAATTTAGAGTATAGGTAATTATTTTAATTTTTATAATACTTAAGTATAGAATGATTTTTTTGATGGTAAACATTTATTTTCTCAAAATGTCTAAACGTTAAACGATTTTTGGAATATTATTTTTGTTTTAAATAATACAAAATTATTAGATAAAAAATAAAATTGTTAAAAAGTTAATTAATAAAATTAATTTAAAAAAATTAAGTTTTTTACTTTATTGAACGAAATTACATTTTTTAAATGGCTAAATATAATGTTTTTCTTAGATTTTTTAATGTATAATAATTCAATTTTTATCGAATAATTTATTATTTATAACTTAAGGTATAAGTAATTTATTATTAAGTATTTAAAGCTTAGATAAACGGATTTAAGTGACATAGTGATTATACTATTGTGGGTAACCACAGAATGTTGGTTCACTAAAATAATATTCAACACATAAAAATTTCAAAATCTTTAACTTATATATTCTTTGTTTAGAATTAGGTATTTACATATTGAAATTCTCAGAAAACATGAAACTAAGTGATTCAAAAAAATTAATTTCGCAAAAGTATTAACGATAAAAAAATAGTAAAAATTTATTTTTTTGCAAAAACTATTTAACCAATTTTTTAATTATTTGTTATAACTTCGAATTTTCTATAAAATAATACATTCAAAAACGTTAAAATTTCGACAAAACAAATTTTCGATTTATACGATTTTTCTAAAAACTGGTTATTTACTATTTGAACTATTTATATTGTTCATAACAATTATGTTCGTATTAGAAGTAAACAGTAGACAAAATATTAAGTTTAGTAATTTAGTTTTGTTATAAATAATGATTAATACAGTTAATTTATTATAATATATTAGTATAAATATAGGTTGTAGGTACTAAGATATATATTTACATGCGCTTTAAGTTTTTAAATACTTTTTAATTGATTGATATGATAATAAATACTTTTAAATTAGGTACTAGAAAAAAAAGAATATAGTTTATATTTTTGAAAAATGTTAGGTTAAAATTCTAGTTTAAATAACAATAAATTTTAAGTTATATTTAAATATTCAATAAGCCTATTTAACACATATGACTGATGTTATTTAAATTATTAAAGAGGGAGTTCGAACTCTGCACTGAGTGCACTGACACTTCAACATACTGTATCACAGCCTGTTAAAGCAGCACGTGTCTACTATTCTGTAATGGTAAAATATATAGTATATCGTATCTATATTAAAGGTAAAAATTCCCTCTTTTTTTTAGCCCTCTATGGTTTTATGAAATATTATATTATTAATTATCTTTTAACTTTAAAAATAAGTTATTTAACATTTAAGTTATACCTACTTCATTAATATATTTATTATTGTCTACAAGGCTATATTATAGGTATGTATTAAATTAATTTTCACGAGGTTAAAATAGATCATGCTCAATGATACAATGATAGAAACGCAGTTAACGTGTATATATAATATTATAAAATCTATTTGTTAGCATCTAAGCTGTTGAATGTATATATCCATTATTTTTAAAGTCTATTGAGCGTATAAATGAACACAATTTTGTTTACAGTGTATTAAAATTTATATATTTTATGTATTCCTTTCGATTAGTTTCACTTATTAAAATCTTATATTAACTCTCTGGAAGTCAGTTTTTATTATTATTTTAAATACGTAAACAATGTTAAATCATTTGATTTAAATAATTACACTGATTCAGGTTTGTTGTTAGTAGAGTTCTTATATCTTACTCATAAATTGTTTATACATTTTAATTTTTAAGTTTGAAAAAAAAATAAAAGAAATATGTCTTATATACTGAAAGTAATTCTGATAAATATGATTACTTATTAAGTCTTTGTATTTAAATAAACTAATTTGTTTTCAGAAAATATTATAAATATACCACGAAATCGTTAAAATTTGAAGAAATATAATTAATAACACATACTGTTTTATACATGATTAAAACTAAACTAATTATTTTAAAACTATACTTTGAATACGATTTATAACATCAGTTACATTACTATAATTTATGGAATTATAATATTATTCATAAAAAGAATGGGCTTGTACTTAAAAAAGAAACATAATTAATTATGATAATCTTTAAATCTAATATATACATATTAATCGTCCCACTTCAAATTTAAAATATTCTAAAAAGAATATGAACTAAAAAATTACAAAGTTACATTATTTAATAGATAATTTATCTATGGTTTTCTCTGTTACAGTGCCATCAGATAAAAATCGGATCATTAGGACATGCGGATGGGACGTTTCAAATTACAATAACAAATGTTATCATCGATCCGGATTTGGTGGTAAACAGGACGTGTGCACTTGTTTGACAGATTATTGTAACTCTGCACAAAAGACATACATAGCGTTTGCCACTGTAGTGGCAGCAACACTCGCTATACTTATTTTGTAGAAATTTAGATATTACTCTCAAATACAAGACAAATATTTTTGATTTAATTATGGATACAAGTATTTTATATAAATGTTGAGAAGTACATAAATTAAACCAGCATTTGGTACATTCATGACAAAAAGTTTACTTTGAAAATAAATAATGTTGTTTTTATTAGTTGAAACTTGCGTAGCATAAAATTATAAGTTAACTAGATATGTCATTATTTTTCTATAATAAAGTATTTTATAAATGTATGTTTTTCAACAGTGTGAAAAGTATAATACTATAGTCTATATTTCTATAGTAAAGTTATGACGTAGAATTTAAGAATTTAATGCAGTTAAAATTTACGATAGAAGAGTCAAAAAACTATCTAATGTACATTACATATCATGATAAATATTATAGTTTAAATTATCACTTCTAAGTTTCTATCATCTTTAGTTCCAGCGTAAAAACTTAAATGTGAAAATTGAAAACAATTGTGTATTATAGTGTAATTTATGTAGATACAACTTTTTAGATCTAGAATGGAAACATGTGTTATAAATTATAATTGTGTATTTGTATACAAAAATCAAAACTCGTTTAAAATAAAAAATATTGAATAATTATAAAATAATGTAATAAACTAATATATCTGTACAAATTCTAAAAGATATAGACATAAATTTATAATGGAATATTATATTTTTTATTTATGAGATTCAAAATTGAATAATGAATTATAATATCTGTGAAAATGTCCTTAAAAAACTTCATAATAGTTGTATCTATACAAATGCAGTTGAATTCTGAGGTTTTTTAAAAAAAATATCTTTTTCATAAAAAATGAGGCGTATTGTTTTATATTTTAAAACACATTTATACATCATATTATACTTGTTGGTCATTTGCGTACATTATTTATAACTTAATTGTTTTAGAACTTGACAGTTGACATTATACTATAAGTAAACTAATTTGTCATCATTATTGCGAATTAGTATATCACATTTTATACTTTATAATATGAAGTCCATGTAATTATTTATTATTTATTTTAACTATTAATAATTCTTTACCCGGTTAGTAGAAAATAAATGTATTATAGACTTTTTATGAAGTGAACTGTATATGATAAATATTAACATCAACGAAATGTTTCGGAAGAATGAAGTATGAAAAGAACAACAACAACAAAAAAAAAATAATAATAATAACAATAACAAATAACTGCGTTTGAAAACGCACGTTGGGCAGGCCCAAGGTCGGTTAGTGGTAGGTGTACGCAGAATAATTTTTAGAGAGGTGCGTGAGAGTCAGAACCATTTGCAGTCTGCAGACACTTGTACGTTAGTACCCATAACGGCAACAACTATAGTAGTAGTGGTTCATTTCAATATTACTGTTCGTATACGTTATATAATAATAGTGTCTTATTATTATTATTATTATTATTTCTTATTATTCACCTGAAAAGAAAAAAAGCTAACAAATATGAAATCAATTGTATCGATAACAGTATGTTTAATCGCTTTATTTGGATTAAGTAAGTAATTTTATATTTATTTTTTGACGGTTTCAATTTTTAGATTTTTAAGCCGTTCTTATTTTTTAATATTGTTTTGATTGCCTTCGTCTTTTATGATTATTTTCTTCGATGATTTGCAAATTCGCAAACAATGATTTTATTTTTAAACTAGATAGACAGGTTTTACATTTACTAGTGTTATAACCAGATATCGATGTAACATGCTGTAGACTTTCACCGAATTATTATTACAACTACACATGTAATTTACGTAACATACAGTAAAATTTACTAAAACCACATAAGTTAGTATCATTAATATTTTCATATGAATAATTGCAAGTTTGTGACCAGAAAATATTATATTCGAGTAAGTTAACCTAACCTATATACTTTTATAAAAATTATTTTGATTACTTATGTTGGTTATTGATATTAGTGTTCTATAATTATTATAATAATTCTATTAACTAAATCGTACAATAATATTGGTTATTGAAAACTAATTGTGATGCATTATATTATCCATAGATATTAGACAAGTAGGTAATCGTCTACCGTTTGTAAACTAATGGTAGGTAGTAATAAACAATTATCAATAGGGCTGCGTATTCATTGTTTTTATTTATTACCAATTAAAAAAATAAAATAAATATGTTTAGATGTTTTTAATTTTTTGGTTAGTAGTTACCTGAAATAATCAGATTATTTTTATTTTTTTTTTTTTTGAACAAAATATGAACATGAATATGTTTTTTTATTAATAAATTATATTATTTTGTAATTAATATTAAAACATGCGTTTTAGTATAGGTGTTTATTGGAATTTCAAGTGTACTCAAAACTGCATTTTTAAAGTTTTATAGTGCATTAAATTCACAGCTATACTAATATAATATCTGGTGGGCGGTGGCAAATAGAAGTTATACCTATATGTTATAATAGTTAATCAACATAATATGCGTAGTATACTATACAGAACTTCAAACTAAACATTAGTAATATAAAAATGAAGACTTTAATGAGCATATTTTTATTTGTTTACCTACTTAAAAAAAAATCATCAGTGAACCATGACTCCCCTGGAAAGTGAATATGCCACTGATCCTATTTTACTGTTGTAGTACCCGTGACGACAAGGACTCATTGAAGGTTATAAAAAATCCATTGCTAATTAATACATTAATAATTATGTTGTTATTTTTGTTTCGTTAATTTGTATACGGTATTATTAATGAAAATGAGCAAAGCGCAAAAAATTATTATTGCATTTTATTTTATATTTTGTATAAAATCTTATGCTAAATTTAAATCTTAAGTATATTTAACCAATCTATAGACCAATACACTGAGTTATAAAATTAAAATAATACTATAAATAAAGATGTTTTAAAATTGTCAAAATCAGCAAGCTCGATTATGAAACGTAATGCGAGATTTTCAAACTGTAGGTATACAAACTATTTTTAAGGTTTTGGTAAAATTTGACCGTTGTTGAAAGTTTTGTAAGCATCGTAATATAATATAATACATCATTATATTACTTAATATATGAATATGAATGCTAAAAAAATTAATTTACATTTAAAAATTGTAAGAAATAATAAAAAATATTTGATTATTTTAAATGTACAATGTAGGTCAAATTTAATATTTAGATTCGCATACTTCAACATATCAAAACTTTTGATAAATTTTGAAAAAAGAATATTTAAACTGTCAGCTATACAATAAGACAATTGTCATTTTTCTTTGACTATTATCAACAATGAAATCAAGTCTATAAAATTGTGTTGTTGTTATTGTTATCAAATATCAATAGTTAAAATGGTTATTTTAACTAATAATTGGTCAGTAGGTATTTACTACCTACAATTTAAACTACTTATTTTTGTCTCATTCATTGACAATTTTAATAAGTATTCACTTTACAAAGCGTTAATGCGGAAACACTATTTTTGTAAAAAATAATAGGTAGGTATTGTTGATTTGACTTGATTATTTGAATATAATATATAATATATTATTTACATACTAAGATGCATAATTAATAATATTATATATTGTTGTACCTTCCAAATGTTTTTTTTTAATTAAAAAATAAAATAAAATATTTATATACATGAATTAAAAATTAATACAAAATTACTGAAAATTGTTAAAACTAGTGTAGATATTTCGGTTAATTTAAAGTTATTATTGTGATTGGCGGTAGGTACACTTATACTATATTATAATAATATGTATTGTGAATAATATATTATTATTTACGTTTCGTTGTTTCGTTTATTTTAAAAACGTTTATTTTTTTGCACATACAATTTCTATCAATATAATGATATTAATATATTATAAATTAGGTCAAATTATTGAAAATTAGATAATAATATTATATAATAGTAATTATTAATTAACACAAAAGACTTGAAGACTAAAAATCACCAAATATTCACTTAAACACTCAAAATATGCTTCTTAATATACAATTAAAAACTAGAATTTTTTAAAAAAAAATTGAATTTTGAAAATAAAAATACACTATAACTTAAGTCATTTTATATCTAAAAATGAATAACTAAATAAAATAAATTGCAAACAGAACACGTAGGTAATATAATCGATCACTTAGAAACACACTAAGCTATGAATTTGAAATGTCAATATAATACTGGAATGTTTGTATTCCATGTGTTCGCCTATCAGTATTTGACATTATCGATCACGTTTTGTATCGTGAACTATTCTGTATATTATGAAATTAATTAAATTAATAAAAGGAAAATCAATCTAGTCGGCACTTTAAGGAAAAACGTGCGTCCGCGAATAGACAACCATATTATTATATCTTAAAAATTTAAATCTAACAATTTTGTTTGTATTTTAAATGAAATTAAGACTTCAGTGGATCGCATTTTCCTATACATAGACATAATATATTCTAGATTTTGTCAAACAAATTATAATTTATAATATAAACAGTGTTTTGGTGTATGGGTTTATAATAGTATACTTTTAAATGCTTATTTAAAACTTTTAACTTGTTGTAACAATTGTTTTTAAAACTAGATTATAATGATTACCTATCACATAATATTAATGATTATTAATAAGTACCTTTAATTTAATTTAATTTAAATAAAATAACTATTTTTAGTTATTATATTCAGTATAAAGAAGGATAAAACACATGAATACTGAATACTAATTTAATAACAATTAGCTTAGAATTATTATCATAAACTAATGTGATCTATGTGGTAGCTTAAAATAATTAAATGTTAAATAACAATAAAATTAGTTGATTAATATGAAAATATGAAATTATATGTATTTAATATGCTGAACTTTACAGTTATATAATTACTATAAAATAAACAACATTATAATATTACCAGTCACCTATATTTATATAGATTATAGATCATATTTTATATTCACCAAATTACGAAAATTCAATAAAAAAATGTAAAACTTAATATATAAATTGTTTCTTATTGTTATTAATGTACAAAATCCATTAACATTTTTAAGTGATAGATTATTTTATTGCTATATGTATACAAAAATTATCTCGTATAGAAATCTTGTTTTGTGTATTATTGTGGGTTAGGTTAAAATGGTTAAGTACATATTATATTTTCATACTTTATATATAATCGGTATATAGATAAACATATGGTAGATTAGTAACCTTGAAATATAATAATTATGAATTTATATATATATATATATATATATATATGTGTGAATATATTTATTTTTGTTGCTATATTTGTAAAGTTAAAAATAATATTGGTCATTAGTCATTATTTGTTACAACAACATTCTCATTATGCGATTATTAATATGATTTTAACATTTGAAACAAATAGAATTGCAAGTCATAGATTTCGACAACTTATCTAAATATTTTGACATTTATAGTGAAACACGTAGTATAAGTTTCTATCAATAAGTACCGGCGTTAAAATTATTTGTTATTAATTAATATGGACTATGAATAGTAGATACATAACAGACATAGATATATTAAAAGTCTATTTTAAATCGTTATTTTATGTTAGTAAAATAGATTTATCTATTTGGGATAAAGTCATACTCTATTATAATATAATATTATCATAAATGTTGTTACGTAAGCACTGAATTGACTCTGTAATAATAATATAACATAGGTGGCCAACTTGCGGCTCGCGAGCCACATGTGGCTCTCATCATTGTCAGATGCAGCTCGCGTCTTATTTACAAAATCAAAATGTACTTAATATTATTTTGAATTTTAATTTTCAGGTATTAGCATATAAAACATTATTAAATTATATAACCATATTGGCTCTTGGTATCATTGTATTTATCTATGTGGCCCGCGAACCTATTCATGTTTGCCACCCCTGTAATATAATATACACATTTACGTAACTAGATACCTAAGTAAGGGGACAGTATAAAAGGGTGCTAATGTTGGATTGAAGAAAATTAATATCTAACAAGAGAAATCTATACTTATAGCATAATTTAGGTAGCTGATTTTCGATAACTCGAAGAATGCCTTCTTATTTTTGAGCGAAAATATATTGTATTATTAATGTATATTGTATATATATATATATATATACAGTGTGTTTTGGGATAAAGTGTTCACATTAGCTGACGTCAAATGACAGTATACCCCAAATCATGAAAAATACTTTTTACCGTTATGAGGAATTTAACTTTTTTTTTTTTAAATTAAACCTACCACTCATGTGCTGTCTAATACTAGCAATTAAAATTTAATGAAAATACAACACAAAATAAATTAATCGTGTTATTAATAAATTGCAGGTAACTACGGTATAAAAATATTTTTTTTCTATTTAACTCCACTTATTAACCGATTAATGATTGAAAATCCTAAACTAATTATGCTTATAGAAGCGCGTATTACTTGGAAATAATAGAAGAGACTAAACAAAATTTTTAAGGTGTTCTAGGTATTATTCAGTAGAATAATATAATCAAAATTAAACTGTAGTAAATATGGTGTTGATGGATTTATATGCAATTCACTTTCAAAAATGCTAATTTTTTAAATATTTCTTAATTTAATAAAAATAATTTGTAAATTACTTGTTTAATTATGTATTTTATAGAGATGTACTATGTACACCTCATGCTACCATAGTACCATCATAGCTAACCTCATTGCTATGTTTAGAAACTAGCAAAATTTCATACTTTAAAAGTCTATAAATTGTAAAAAATATAATAATTTATAGACATATATTTTTTTATACTTATTTAAATGAAACGAAAGCAGCTTTATAATGTGATTGATATAGGTACTTACTGGTTATTTGTATCTATATCACATGTGCTTATGATATCGGGATATTGACAATTGAATTCTAAATATCCTTAATTTATAGATTTAGGACTTGCCTATACCTATGTATTCCGAAATACTAAATGTAGTTAAGTCGGGTTTTGTAAATATTTAATACGTTAAAGTATAATAAAACATTCAGTTTTTTTAGTGTTTAGTCATTTAGAATTTCAGATAATCACTCTGACTCTGTATAATAATATAAAACATAGATTATAGGTAGTAGGTCTTATGTTATTTTAATAGACGTATAGATCATTGGAACCTAACCTATGATAGAGAAAACATTTTCTTTTAAAATTATTTTAATATATCGCATTTTATAGATATAAAAATTTATATTTACCTACAGTCTACAATATGTTAATATGTATTTACTTATTAGATATTGAAAATATTTAAGTATATTATTATATAATTTAGAGTATTGGTATGCCTAGTGTATAATATTCAAATCATATCGTAGCGATAGAAAAATACAAATATATAATCATATTTGTACTGATGATATTCTTATTTAGTCTTTATAAAAGTGTTATTTTTTAAATTGAAATGGTTTTTCATCTAATGACATTTAAAAAATAAGTATTGGTGTTATTTATATTAATTATTAAGCCTTGTGTATATTTCAGTTTTTATTTTGTCTAATTGTAATGTTTTATTATCAGGTACTGGTCTAAAATGCTATACTTGTGGCTGGTGGAGTAAAAATTGTGGTGACCCATTCATGAAAGATGATTATCTTTTAGTTGAGTGTAATACTAAAGCGATTAATGATTTCAATCATGAACTAGGAAACACCCTTAATACTGCAAGTAATGCTCTACAAAATTTTGCAAATCAAGTAGGTTTCAACATCAATCATAACAACAACTTCAATTTGCCTACTATTAGTGAAGATTCAGTTGGATGCACTAAAGTAGTACTCAAACGTACGTATCCTAGAATATTATATTATTGAATATTTATTATTATGAATTTCTAAACTGATTTTTATATTTTAATTTTATTTCAAAATATTTAAAGTATAGATAAACAGTCGAATTTAAAGTTAGGATTAATGTATTAAGTAATTTCAATTAATTTAAATTGACTTATTAGGTACCAGTAGAATTAGATTCTTTGTTAAGTATCTTATGACGGTTATGCAAGGCTAGTTATTACATAATAAACATAAATATTATTGTGCTTATAAAAATATTCAGAATACATTAGATGTACTTATGTGTAAATAAATACAGTGTTATTTTTTTTTAACAGTAAGCACTTATTATTATCTCGAATTTTATTAAAGTTTCGATATAATTTTTACATGATTAACATTTTTGAGAAAAATCAATTTTTTGTATTTTTTTATCTTTATAATTTTTAAGTTTTTACTTTATTTCTTAAATAATAATATTCATGTTTAATTTCATATTTTGAAACAGAATAATTTTGTAAGAATTTAAATATTTTAAATCGGATTTTGATTGAAAAATATTTGTTCAACACAATACGTTAATTACGACTCAGATAATATGTATTTATATATACATTATAATATAGCTTTAATTTTATAACAAACAAATATTGTTATCGTTAATCTAATAGCTGTATCATATTTTTGTTTCCGGTACAAACACACACGTATACTTATAAAATAATACAGACGGAGAAGATATTGTACGAGTGGCTCGAGGATGTGTTTATAATAAAGCAGACCTGTGTAAAGGAATGCAAAGACTTGACGACGAACTGAAAACTCTTAAGTACTGTGGTTCGTGCGACGATGATGGTTGTAACGGTTCTAGGTCGTTAAAGTCTTCATTGGTCGCAATAATTTTGACCACGATGGTCACGTGTCTGTTTTACGGGCTACAGCATTAATAACAATATAGTATAATAGAAACCCAAACGCAATACTATTTTCACTAAAGTTGAAAAGTGTACCTGATACTATGTTTTGTTTTATTGTTTTGAACTGTTAGCTTATTCAACCACACAACAGTATTATAAATTATAATATACATATACATTATATATGCACATATGCATACATTTTATGTACGTGCGGAAATATTTTCATTATTTTCTTTACTTTTTACGGTGTATAATAATATTGTTTTAAAGAATATGTTTACATATATATTATTTAAACTAACATACGTATGTAGTTATTGAATGTTTTTATTTTTATGTAAACTATATAGGTACCTAGATTTAGATTATATTATATATTGGTACAGGACTTCATTTTTCTCAGTTTCTTATAATATTCTTTATGTGTTAAATATTATAAATAGCTAGTTGTATAAGATATAATATTGTATACCTACTGGATTTGTTTGTATATGTATTTTATATGTATGCGCTATGCAGTATACCGACGAAATTACGATTATATTTAACTTTTGGTCTATTGCACAAATTAAATTTTTAGTTTGTTTATTTAAGATATTCAAAAATAAAGCGACGAATAAGAATAATAAATTTTGGAAAATGTCAATTGTTTAGTATATCAATTATTTCTAGTTATATTTGTCGACATGTCATTTAAAATGCATTAAAAAAAACGTCGTATTCTTGAGAAACGCTTTGGAGGTGACTAATTATTGTTATTTATACCTTTCCACAACGATAGAGTGATATTCCACTGATTGAAATTTTTTTAATGTATCCGATACAATTTTTATACTTATAAAAAGAATATATTATATAAATTCATCAAGCTAATAATTTTTAATCTGTGAAAATAAATGTTAACTACATTGAAATTATTTTTGACACATTAAATGTTTATGATTTTTAAGTTTGATTAAAATTAAAAATACTTTCTTTCTGAATAAGACCAAAATTAACATTATTTGTTTAATTTCACAGACTACCATTTTTATTGGTTGATTATTTGTTTTATACCTATTGATTATTATCAATTATCATGTATAATGATAATAATTGATTATAACTTTTATCTACCATATACTGCACAAATATTATTAGAGTTAATTATTTTTGCAGGTCAAAACAACGTACCAGAGAAGTTGACTTGTAATGGTTTCAACTTTAAAACCGATTACCTAAAAATCAGTAAAATTTGTACACATAGTACGCTTTCTAGTAGTTTCATGTTATAACTTATAACTACGTCATACATACATTAATAATAAAAAAATAATAAACACTTAAACTTATTATAAAAGAACGTGTTGACTGTTAAGATTTATAGTACATATCACATATGTTAGTATATTGCAGATTACTAAATACTAAACATATATATAAGATGTGGAAAAAGTCGATTCCTCGATTTGCACAATAAACAAATTGCGCCAAACAAAACATGAACTTTTAATACATCGAATAGTATAATGAGGTATATAGGATCACTGTTTGTCATGGAACTGATGGCCATCTTTGTCAACACAATAACTTTAGTAACAAGTGCTCAGAATGGTATGTATAGTACAGAATTTTGACCCATGTCAGGAACCGAATTTTGCAGCACCTATATAAAATTATTAATTCCGTAAAAATCCTAACACTTTTTAATACCTCCTCTAGAGAACGGTTAGAGGGCATTTTTGAATTTCATCTTTTGATAATCTTTTTTTATGAAATAGTTTTCGTAATTTTTTCTTTATCAGTAACAAAAAAAAAAAAAAATTATTTTGGTTTTAAGAATAGTACTATAGTTTCTAAGTTTTTTTATTTATTTTTATTATGCTTAGAGCCTACGAAGCCCCTAAAAATAGACGTATGACTTACACTAATTTGATTTTACATATCTATTATAAATATTATTTGTTTAAAGCGTGAAAGAATATATATAGAATGTATATAATATACACGTGGTCAATTAAACATTAAATTTTCACGATATTAAAGTCGTAGGAGAATCGGGATTGAGTACACATTTGAAGAGAAATTAATTGAAAATTTTGTATTTGATGAGCAATTATACAATAATATGTGTATTTTACATTGTTAAAAATGTTAATAATTTAAAATATTGAAATTACTTTTTATTTAAGTTGTATACTTTACAATCATTATTACATATATCTGTCCATGATATACATTAAGGACATTGAACATAAAATTTTTGAAATACAACTGTTTATAATATTGTTGAACACAACATGCATAAATAAAAAACAGTTACAATTATAATATATTTGTAGTTAATACATTAGTCATTGAGTCGTCAAGGGGTATAGTTTTATAAAAAGAAAATATAAAATTTTGTAAATATTGCTTAAATCCATTTTTATAAATTGTATTAAATTTACTGAATTGAAGACAGATGTATAAGTAATTCAAATGGAAAAATACCGAATTATATTGTAGTTTTTTAAGTATTTTTTATTAATGTATTTAAAATATTACATTATCTATTTCAATTTTCCTTTTTCAACTTTAAATAGTGCCGATTTGATGGGCCTATGACTCAGAATGTTAGGGTGCAATTATTAATATTAGAACTACCTTACAAAAATTGCTATTTATAAGTTATTTTATGTATTAATTATGCATGTATATTGTACATATTTTTGGGAGTTTATGCATCAGTGGCGGTTTGTCTATTTTTTACCAGGGGCAATGTATAAAATTAACACTCTCTCATAATTCAGCCCCCTTCTATTATACTTATAATATACTGTTAATATATTCTCTCATTATTTGGTTATTTGACACTTCTTGACTAAGACTTTTGGGGAAAGTGCTTTGGTTCAACGTTTTCTAAATCCGGCCCTGGGTATATGATAAAAATGAAGATTTAAGTGAAGTGATTTAAAAAAGAACATTTCAACTAGATAGGTTTCTACTTAATTGTTTATGTGCTGCTTTAAATCGAGTTAACCGTAGGGATGAACTGATTCCATAATAATTTAAAATAAACGGATACGAGTAATTTCTTAAAATATTTTTTTACTTTTTTACTATTCAATATTCCTAATAATTTATCACTTTACAAAGTTAGAAAATCTGGAACATTAACTTGAAGTCATTAAAACAAGTTCAGCCTTTAAACTTTGTTGCATTTATCTCCATGTCCCTGTGACTTTGTCCTTTACTCAATCTAATAGCTTCGTCAAAAATGCGTCGTATTCAATTATTTAATACTTTAACGAACTTATAGGCGAGTATACTGTAACATCTACTGAACTTCGATTTATACGACAATTGCTCTTTTTTATCGTTAGATTGCGTTGCCATACATAATTTCAGTTTGTATATAATTTTTCGATTCAGAGTTTCCGTGCCAACCGACATGGTTCGCTTATTCTTTTATTTCTAGTTAGTAGATGTTGACCACTATTTGCGGTAGGGTAACAATGTCCAAATGTTTCAAAAGTTTTGAAAATTGAGAATAACTATTAATGAAGTTTTTTAAATAATATCTATTATAAGACTTTTATAACATACACCTACAGAATACAATATACAACAATTAAATCTAACTTTTAAATCGTTAAGTTATTTAAATTTTGTGTAGGTTAAACAGTAATGATTTTACACGTATATAATAATAGGTGTTTATTTTGTTTTTTGTGTCTGTCATCACTTTTTGGAGCAGTAATAATGCTTTATTCTTAAACTTTGAGTGTGGTCCCTGGTAGAAAATTGTATCTTTTTTAGTATTTCCCGAAATGTTTGAAAATTGGAAATATTGAATTAGAAAAAAAAGAAAATATTTAAGCAAGAAAGTATTTTGTTCTTTCTCTGCAAATAAAAAATGATTAGCCATTATAAGTACTTGAAATAAAACTATAAGTATTTTTAGACATAATATTTTATTATATTTTGGTTCTTTCCATGCTATTTATAGATTAGGCCTAGTTTGATAATGTTTAAATTTTCTTAATTTTTTATGTATAAATGTTAATAAATATTAAATATTTTTTAACAAGATTTCTAATAAGTTTTACTTAAAGTTATTTTGTTGTAATTCATATAACATTAGAGATTTGACAGTTTTTGCAACTGCGTATATTATTATTTACTGTAGGTAAACAATATACAAAGAACTTATTTACACCGTTCTACGATACATCGATATAGATTTAACAGTTATTTATGTTATAATATGAAATAATAATATAATATGTGAAATTTTTTTTTTTGATGAAAATTGATTTAACTTACTGTATAATCAATATATAAAATTACTAATAGCTATATAAATATAAACTAATTTATCATTTTACTTGATAACCTTATTTTATACAATATAATTCAAATACTTATTATCCATATAGACTTTGCAGTGGATAGAGACTATTTTTTCGGACAAAGTGTGAATTCCAAAATCATATGTACACATTGTACACAATACTAAAATGTGATACATTTAAAGAAATAACTGAAAATGTACTAGCTGAGTGGACAATGACTAAATTTCAAAGGTTAGGCAGTAGACCATGATTACAACCATTGGACGGATGCACTACGTATAAGCATATTTTATTGTCTCTATCGAATATTAGCTTCCTATAAGTTTTTTTTTTTTTTTCCTATAAGTTAATAGAAATGCATCCATATTTTTACAAAATTCCAAGGATAATATAGATCATAATAAACTAAAAATTTAATTTGTAATACAAAAAAGTGAAATTTATATTTTCTTACATTTATAAAGTTTTTTTTTTATAATTTAATTTTTAGAAGTTTTATTTTTTACTGGGTAAAAACTATTGTATAATAATAATTTAATATATCAATCCACTTGTAAACATAATTATTATGTGCCCATCATGTTATGAAGTTGATTTCTTGTATTCTTTATTTTGTTATTATTAAGATTATGATCCATATAGTATATAAATATTCTGATAACCCAATTACATTTTTTTGAATATATTTTAGCAAGTTATTTATTTAAGTTTATATTTTGAATAATGTGAAATATACTTTTAAAATTTATATTTTACAACTAGTATTGCAAGAGCATATAGAATTCAAGATAACATTTTTTAGTTGTGATTGCATATAATCAATCACTTTTAAATATTTATAGTTTATACTACATTTTAAATAATTAGTGATAATGCACATTTTATCATTATTTTAATATTCGATTACAAATGCACTCAGAGTATATACGTTTATAAAATTAATTTTAGTGTTTTACCTTTCTGGATAAATTATGGAAACATATTAATTAATTTATTAGTAATTGATTATAAATGTTATTTCCAAATTTGTGGTAGAACAAGGCAAGGGTTATTATAATTATTTATTATGTATCTAATTAAGAGTTTATTACCAACAATATTTACTTTTGTTGTTTTTTTAAAATATTTTAGGAATATTTATAAAATCAGACAGGTATAATAATTAATTATTTTAACACAAAATATTTACACTTAGATAAATTTTAATTTTTAAAATAATAAGTTATAACTACCTATATCATGTTTTTTATTCAAAATAAAATCATTACAAAATACTAATTATTTGAAAATATTTAAATTGTTTTCATGTACTGCTAGATCGTTATATAGTATTTAGCTTTTAATAGTTTATTTTTAATTCTTTTCTTTATTACTACAGTAAAGTTTAGACCTGAACACGTGATACTGTGGTCAATAGCGGAAGGACAATACATAAATTAATGTGACTGTGGTCAAGGACTATAAAACCATGTCTGCGTAACATCTAAAAAAAAAATAGACTGAAGAAAAATTATTCTATGAGAGAAACAATGTAATGACAATGTGGTTTATTTATTTAATTGTTTTATTGGCGAATGAGTTTAAATAAATAACTGTAGAAGGTAGTTTTAATCCATTTGTTGTAGACTTGTAAGTTGCAGTTACCTATTTATAATTTATAAGATATTATAGGTTCATAAATTATTTTAAAAGTATGTTTATATAATATTTTGTAGTTTAAGTACTTTTGCATTTATAGCACTAATGATTAATGAATCATGATTGAACATCATATAAATTTAGTCATACAACTTACAAGTAATATATAGGTATATAAACAATAAACCTAATTTTAGATTTATTTCTAAGCAATAAATATATGTGTATAGCTTTTTTAATGTATTTTGTTTTTAAATTGATAAGATAACTTATTTTTATGATTAAAAATTAAAAATTGAAATATTCAAAAACATGTATCATGTCATATAAATATAACAGAACATGCGATTTGATCAAGTTTTATTTTTTGTATTTTATTTTTGTTAATTGTTGAGCTATTAATTATTATGCTTCTTTTAAATAAAATCTAATTTTAATATATATTTTTATACCAATCAAAACTCGTTAAGTTTTAAAAATAACAATTTCGCAGTTTTGTAAATGGAAATAGGGTCCTTTTAAATGTTTCTTCATTAATAAAAGTTAACATTAACCTTTTCTGTTATTTGTCTGTAAACCATGTTTTATTATTTTAACAAATTTTAGATCATAAAGAATATTAATTTATTTCTTTAGATTATCTATAATTCTTTAATAATTATGCAAATATAAAAAACTGTTTTAATAACCATTATAATATGAGTAGGTACTTACTTACTCTAAAATCATTAAATAAAATTCAAGCACAGCAAAGATCAAATGATTTTTTTTTCGTTAAAAAAAATCACAATTCACGTCCGGTTTTCGGAAAACTAGGCTTCTATAGAGATGTGTGAAAACGTGACAATAATAAATAAAAAAACAAAAAAATAAATAAAAAATATTTGTCATGGATCACCAGTCACATCTTAGTCATCACGTCCGACAACCAAACATGACAAGGAAAGAAAAATCAATTGAAACAATGGACCAATCAAGGAACTATACCAGAATGTGTCCTTTCGAGTTATTTTAAAGAAGTTGAACATTTTCAAATAACAATATGTTTTTTTCTGTTATATCCCAATAGAGGTATCCTGTATTCTGTGGTAAAATGTGCATAAAATTCACTATTAGGTTTATATGTGTATATAGTATTTATGTAGGTACGTTTAGAAAATACAATCCAGTGGACAATATTGAAATTTTAAGTAAATACACTTAAAAACGTTAAATATTTAGTTTATTTATGTATTTTTAAAATAAGTAATTTTTTTAAAGTCACTAAGGTATATAAAAATTAATAACCAATTTACTCAGTAAATATTTTCTAAAAATACTATACATATCATTACAGTCAGACAGGATTAACAGTATACTAATACATATATCGATTGAATTTATAATATTATTAGACAATACTACTCGTAATTAGTTTGACGTGAGATTGAAAATAGTGTTTTTAGTTATCAATTAACATACTATTTTAGGCCTATATTTTAAAGTAGGTACCTACTAATTATTAAATATTTCAATTGTTTTTTTTTTTTCATTTTAAGCAAGACACAAGTATACGATAATAAAATCAAATTTTGTCGGCCAGATTTTAACGTTTAACGATTACAAATTAAAATATTGCTAATCCACTTGTTTCATCTCTTATAAATAATTAATTATAACTCGACAATGATTTTGAAATTCTGGCTATATTCTGGTACACTGACCTGGTATAGTAACCGTAAACTGCGGTGTAAACATTTGTTTCCTTCGATGATGTAAACGCCAATTAATTTACATGTCTTATTCACTCGTAGATAAATACTAAATAATAAATATATACGCTCTCTCGACATAATTAAAAGCATGCTAATAGAAATTAAATGGGTTTTATCATTCGAAAGACGCACCTCTAGGATCCGGTAGCTTATTCTCGATTGGGTTCAATTGGGCAGGGTCAATAGTTATTAAGGTTATGTATATATAATATCTATCCATATATATATATATATATACACACACACCTATAATAGCCCGTATTCCCCTTATATACTCGTAACTATTCTGCACGTGGACAAGTGTTGCTCAGACGAATTGTATGATACTTACAATAACAATTATTACGGTGTAAATTTAAACTATCGCGGATCAAAGATAATCATGGTAAATGTGAAATTGATGGAGCTTTCTATTAACCTCTCCTGCGCATATCTCATTATCCATGCATAAGGGTAGTCAGCTTATATCGTACATGTCTGCGTGAGATTGCCAATTACGATGTAAGCAATGTGTATATCTATCGGCTCTATCCAGTCGTAAATATTTAATTTCGAACGCTATTTATTGATATCACGGATGACGAGAAAACACGCAATATGGCATAGTTTTTTCCTTTCTACATAGTATTATATGGATTAAGCACAGTCTGTTTTATAGTTGTTTAAGAAGTTAAAAATCGAACTCGTTAATTTCGCAGACTACATGAAATGTCTACTTTTTTATCGTGTTCGGATTGTTTTACATATTTCTAATAATTAGTTTAAGTATTACAAATGGTCTGTGTTTTGTGTAAAAATACATATTTGAAAAGTTTTCTCTTGTTTAGAAAAACACATAATATGTTTATTGCATGTCCAGTGAACCAGTAATCCGATTACAATATTTTTGAAGAACGAATCGTTTTCATTTTCTATCTGTCCGGGTGGTATACTTACACTAGTAGTTGTATTAACCGCATTGTTGATATATTATTTTTTAAATTCAATCTTCTTTATAGTTTTATTTTCTTATCGTTTTATGTACATATATATGCGTATATTAAAAAATATATTTTCATCATTCATTGGGATTTGATATGTCACTTTACGTGGTTTAAGTTACCATCGCAATAGTCACCATCTGTCTGCAACTCGAAATTTTACAGGTACACATAGCATAGATGTAAGTAAACCTATAAGCCCTTAAACGCATTAGATAATAATTATATGAGTATATTTGCTGAATAGTGAATCTATTATATAGTTTGGTGATATCGTTCAATAGTTAAGATTGTGTAGCGTATACTGCGGCACTGGCGCTTAAGTATAAGATGTGATCAAAGGACTTCGGTATCGTTAAATACAATAAACAATAATTGTATGTAAGATGCGCACGTGTTAAACAACGGGTTTCACTGGAACACATAGTGTAGCAAAAAAATGCAACTGAGCCATAATATTATAGTATATCGTATACATATATACATAAGTATAAAGCATAATACGGTATACGCACAATGTTATTATTATATATAAACGATGACAAAGGGAAGGGGGCTTCGAGCAATAATGTAGTACTAAAAAGTGGTGGGGTAGGGGAGCGAGAGAGCTTTCCACCGTACGCTCCTGATGGTCTGTATAGTCGTTTGCGATCCCGACCGACGAACAGTCTTGAAAAGTGTTCAGAAGTGTTGCAGATCTTTTTTGACATAGTATTTTGTATGAGAATAACAAACATTTCAAATTAAAGCATAAAGTTTTTCACGTTTACCGGGAATTTAATAAACCGTTTAGTTGTATAATTTATAATTTCATAAATCTACGACTATTTAATAATGATCCGTCGTCAGATGTACACGATGATCGTCTTTGTATTCGGATGTCTCGTCTTATTACCGGACTACAGTAAGTTGTTAATTGATTACGATTAATTACCTATTTTTCAGCGCTATAGTTGGCTATATTATATTTAATTATCGTTTTGACCATATACACAGGCAAAGCTATCAATTGTTGGGTGTGCTCCACGGATACGGATCAACGGTGCAACGACCCGATGAACATGACCAAAGGTGCGATCGAGGACTGTAGCAGAGCACCGCATTCGGCTTTCTTGCAGCCTGTGTGCAAGAAACAAAAACAAAGAGGTACGAGTCCATACGTATAAGATAATATAGGTATATTTGGGGGTTTTTATAGACGTAAAAACGTTAGATATCGCATATTCGCGTTTTTATAAAGCATTGGACAATAATATAATTAGACTATAAAATCAGGTCACACCGGCAATAATAAGTAAAGGTCTCACACTCAGACGTAATTCAATCCACATACTTGCTGCACGGCACTATTGTTTTATCCAAAGCAGACGTTCCACATAATGTTTGAAATAATAATTGAAATAACTGGTTGTAAATGGTATATATATGGTAGACACCTATATAGGTCCTATATATTCTTTATATTATACTTTTTACAACATAAATAACACAATATTCTAAATAGTTTGCACTTTGTAGTGAATAATCCATTTTATGCTTCATGATTTAATTTAATTTTTTTTATAGTACAAACTTTTTTAATAATTTAATAGATAAAAAAACAAATTTTATGATTTTTATATTATATGTACACATAAAACTCAAACTTACTGTAAATTATTAAAAAAAAATTTTGTTCTCAATGGAAAAAGATAAAGCTTGAGTTAGAAAATAAATTATCAGTGTTCTTATTTTTTATTTGTATAATGTTATATTGTTTAGATATCTATTTTAAACATTAGTATATAATATGTAGTTTATTCAATTAAATACCTATGTATTATTTACCGTCCTTCCTGTAACCTCGTATCTTTATAATATATAAAATAGGTATCTATAGAATAAAATAAAATAAAATAAAATATAATGGACATTGGACAGTGTATAAATGTTATAAGATATTTTAATACTATATTTACCTAACATGAATTTAGTTTAAATACATAAAAATTTATTTTTTGAAAAAGAAAATGACGTAATATTAAAAAGTACTTGCACTATAATCATATGTTGTGCAGCAGCTCATGGCTTAATATATAATAAAATCTAAATATATTTGTATTTTAAAACAAACACATATTTCCAAAATACTTATAGCTATACATTTTATTAAATTTAAAATAATTCAATATCCAATTTGAATGTTAAAACAATTTTTAAGACAAGTGTTTTATATGTATACAAAACAAAGAATAACATTAATTATTTTTAAACAAGTACGATATATATTATTAATAATTAAAGTAAAAAATAATTGTAATAGAAATCAAATAGTTGTTTTCAATAACATATCAAATTTAGTCGATCCCAACGGGTATTCCATTACATATCATTGATTATTTGATAATGACGTAATTATCAGTTAAAATGATCATAATTCATATTATGTGTCATTCGTTTGAATAACCAATTTTTATTGTATCTTCTTTGATTTATTTGAATGTATAATATATATATGTATATACTCGTAAGAGTCATACGTATAAACTATTCTCCTGTTATCATATCATACATGATAACTATTATGATTTCATCTTTTAAGCCTAATTACTAATTAATAATTATATGACAATAGGTACATCTTAATAATTAACTATTGCTTTTTTAATCTACATATTAGTACATTAACCAAATTGTGACATTGATGATTAAATTCTTTTAAATTAATGGATATATGAGATGGCCTATGCGTATTGGGGTGTTTTTTAATCTTCATTATAGTATTTCGTGTTTTTCGATGATTGAATTAAGACACAATGGACTGAATTTAATTGCCTGCTTAATTTTTATTAACCTTTTGGCCATTCTTGTAAGGAACGATGATTCACCGGAAATTTGTATTTGTCAGCCCGCCCGCAATGTTTTAATTGATATTTACATTTTCAATAGAAATTTTAAGATAAGTTCTTTTGTTTAACTAAAATAACAGTTTTTACTATTTTTAGGAATCATAAATATAATTTCTGGGTTTGTTTACCGGAAATTGTTTTTACGAATATGTTATATTATTATGTATACTACTTTATTTTCGTTAACGATGCAATTCGTGAGACGAAAAAAATAATCAACAGGTGTGTATAGTATTTACGCATATACAATGATAATATTTTCTATTTGAATAAAACACATAGATCGCAATCTGAATAGAATGAACAGTCTGGTTCTTAGAGGTTTCACTCTCGTGTTTCAAAAAACAACCCGTATTTTATCGTAATTTGATAGTTTAATGTCGTTAGCAATTGTATTATATTAATTATTAAAATATTATTTTGACAAAAAATATATAACTTTATAGGTTATATTATTAAGTGTTTTATAATTACCATAAATTAAACATTATATTTGATATTTGATTTACATACATTTACTTTACAAATAAGTGTAATCGTAATCAAGCAAACTTATGTATTGTTGGATATTTTGTCATAAAAAAAAATGTAGTTTTTGCATAGACAACGTATTGGTTCATAAATTATTTATGTTTTATAAAAACAATAATAAAGTAAATTATACAAATTAAATTTAAAGTAAATACTCTAAGTATTTTGCAAGTATATAATAATTATTTATTACCTATAGGAAATTAAAAAAATTATTTTTTCCAAATAAATATATAGTTAAAGTAAGCCTTATAATAACCTAACCTATTATCGACAAAACGAGACATCTTTATTTTAAATAATAACCTCAATAAGCACTATAAACCTTAAACGGCTTAAACCAATCATGAAGAAACATATTATATTATTATTTTTTTGAAAAGTTAGAAAAATTGATATTGATAATAAAAGTTATGACAAATAAAGAATAATGCGTAAAATTTTATTTATTTTTAAAATGCATCAATGACAAGTATTTTTTTTTTTTTTTTTTTTGAAAATAAGTAAATAAAAGTATAATAAAATTATTGCATACACTACATATTTTATAAGTATATAATATTATACTAAATATTGCAGTTTACTGTAGGTAACTAACATTATTAAAACATTAATATAAAATAATAATAATTTATTTTTCAAGTTAGGTATAGTTTTAGAATTATTAATTGACGTAAACTATTAACTATTTTGAGTTAGATTTTTATATTTTGAATGATATTCGTAATATTTTTCTATCAATATTGTCGTGTATTTTCAATTAAAACTATTGATAATGTACTTATACAAATAATATCAGACTCAATTCATTACAATTAATAATTTAATAATATTATTCAAAAATCACAATAATATCTGCATCTACCAGTACGTAGGTGTAAATTACGATTTACAATGTTATTAAGTCATAAAAATATATTTTATTTCATAGTTAAATACAAATCATCACCACACTTATAGTTAATACGCAAGATAGACGAACGATGTAGGTAGTACTATGTAGTTGTAGTTCATAGAGTATTAGAGCTATATATACCTATTATGTAGGTATGTTTATGATAACTGATAAGTTTTGATATTTAAATTGGAAAGTAGTAATCATAAATAATACCTATATGTTATAAAAATATTTTTCACTTTTTATCATGGCACGTGTAGCGATTTTTTTGACAATAATAAGTTGACGGCAATGCTAATAATTAATAAATATTAAAATTACTCACAAAGTTAGAACTCCTATTAACATAATATACACTAATATGATAATTTGACAATAGTTATACAAGTAGTTTTTCAATATTAAAAAAATATATTTATATATAATGAAAATATTATAATAATTACATAGTATTATTGTTTATACCATGTAATGACAAAAAAATAAGTGTTGATAATTATTTAACAAATAATAATAAAAACCTATTTTGAATTTTCCTATTTTATAGAATAATGGATAATAATAATATGGAACGACTATATTATTATTATCATAACAGGGGACAGCTACATTAATATCTACATAAAAAACAATATATATATATATATATTCGTATTGTGACGGTTTTTCGTCATCTGCGTCCGATTTTAAGCAACATGTGTCTTTACTCTATATATAGGTATAGGTACTATATCTGGGCATCCGTTTGATCTCGATAAAATTTATTTCGATTTAGCACACCAACCTTAGTTGGTTCTCGGTGCGTGAAATCCGTCGTTCCCGTCCACTAGACATTAAAACGGATGGTCGACGATGTATTCTGTCTACATAAATTTTATATATGGCAATGTACAATATATGATTACAAATTGTATACATCGCGCACGGTTTTCTATTTATGGGTCTTGTGATAAGTTCAATATGGTAATTTTTTTGAATTTTACCTGTGAGAAGAAAAACGAAATTTAGTTTTATGTTCTTTAATTGTTTTGGACGCCAAATCCCTTTAATTTTTTTTTTATCATAACTTCTTCAATCCATTTAAAGTAACAGAAGTCGTTAATAATACTATTTTACAGAAAAAAAGCACTATGCAGATAAGAAATGTTCTTTAATTATATGACGATGTTAGATTAATTATTTTTAAAAGTATTGTAATTATTATTGTTATTATTCATTACATTATAATAAAGTAATTAAATGTCTTATGCGTAACTCTACGAGACTTGAGTTGTGTAATATAAATTGTTTTTATAATATTACATTTCAAATTTAAAATAGTTCTTTTTAAAAAATATTTACACTGATAAACCTTTATCTATATTTGTTAATTTATAAACAGTTTTTTGGGGTTCAATATTGTATTGGTAGTCGTATAATTAGGTCATGATTTTATGGCTTAGATAATATTCGGACGAGTGAAATAATTAAAGCCGATGCCTATTAACGCGTAGGTAAATAAAATTGTATATATTTATAGCAGTATTATACAAGTATGACATCTAGCTGCATTATTGTGCATAATGTAATAACATGAATTATACGCGTATACCTATACATTGTAAAAGTGCGTCGTCCAAAACATTGGTAATATTAGGCACATACCGTGTAACTGCAGTTGGCGGTTATTATTTCGGTCCATTTCGCCATTTCCTGGCGCGGCGTCCGCAACAGTATCCGTTTTCGGGACTAGGCACACTATTGTTATTACAGGTAATAGGCGTATATATATATAATTGTTGTATATACCATATACTTGATGCTTTCGCCGCGACCGATTATTTTTTCGG